ATATTGGCTGGTTTTTCCAGATACAATGTAAATAAAAAAAAATATAATAATATTAATAATAAATATCATATCATATTTTAGTATTTATTTCATTTGCTGTATTTGTTATGTAGTAGAATGCGTAGGATTCATAACAAAACGAAATTAAAAACAATAAGAAACTTTAATACTAATAAAAATAATTGTTAATAAACTAATGTTACAGTAATTTAAATGATAAATTGGCTTGTTTTTTCCAGATACAATGTAAATAAATAAAAATAATAATATAATAATAATATTAATAATAATAATATAACATCATATCATATTTTAGTATTTATTTTATTTGCTGTATTTGTTATGTAGTAGAAAGCGTAGGATTCATAACAAAACGAAAATAAAAACCGTCCGATAATATTAATTGATAGTTTAGTAATAATATTATTAATTTTATTTGCTTTTAAGTAGGCTGTTGTTACTTATTAGAAATACAACAAAACATAAATAAAAAAAAGTATGATAAACCGATTGACGAACTTGCAATGATAATTAGGCCTAGTTATATTAAATATAGCGTTTCGAAACTCCATTGGCGTTCCATATATTTGTTGAAAACAAACCGCGACCGAAATGAAGCGCGACCGAAACGAAGAGCGACCAAAATGATCTGTATTCGTACGCGGATACTCACTGAAATACAGGCCTCTACTAGGCCTCTAGATTTTGGCTGAATAGTTACGAATGGCGTATTTACCATTTATGTAGACTTGTAAGTTATAATCTAACAACAGTAAATTACATAACAACTAATTTAAAAGTAATATTACTTGTGGGTATCGTCTCGTACGTACATTTCTTTACAAAAAAGTGATTTAACCACGACAGTATGTGTCGGCGGTGTACCGACATAAAGGCCTACGCTCCGGAAGTTTTAAAATGCTAATTTTTATAACTTATAATCCGAAAATTAAGGTAAACTTTACAATATATGGTAAATAGATTATTTAGTACTAGTGCCTTTCCAAAATAAAAGGGATGATGCAATATAAGTTACGGAAATAGCGATTTTAAAGAGGTACAAAACTCAGTGCACTAGAATACAACAAAATGGCCGATCAAGGTTTGTTTGGCCCAAGCGAAACAGGTAGCTAGGCAACGTGACTTATGACTTTTTCTCCCTATAGTCTTCTTGCAATATTTTTATATATTAAATCACCAGAAATGTTAGTTTACATTAGTTCACTAAATAACGCAGAAATATGTAATTTTGACGAGGTACATTTTCTTGGTATGTGTTTAAGGCAGAGTAGGGCAGGTGATATATCCTTCAATTCCTTTGGTTCTACTGTGTGAAACATAGGAGGTTCATTGATATCCACAGCGAAGGCATGAAAATGTGTATTAAATTCTTTAGTTGTGCATGTGCTAACAACAAAATGTACAACTCCTTGATCAAAAACTAAAATTGATGATATGTTTCCAAATATTGGCTTGCCTTCAAAAATATCCATGATAATATAATGGCCAGGGATATAGGAAGTACCAAACAATATAACCTCGGAAGCGACAAACACATTACTTTCTAGATCTAATCCTAATTGATAAGATAATATGATTGCGCCATCTAAAGCCTGCACTTTCATAACATCTCCTGATTTGCACTCAAAATTATTATTAATGATATTGGTGCCTGACCACATTGAGCAGTGATACAACTGAAGCCTTTTAGTAATAGTGAGGCAAATATTTTTGAAATTATTTACCACATGACCAATACGCTTACTAAAGTTATGTTTAACTTCGTATTTCAGACAAGATGCATTGCTTAATGGACCAAATTGCATCAGAGAGCTTGGATAATGAACCATGTGATGGTGCTTATTAATCATCATAAATTCTGGAAAAAGTTTCTTGAAATGTGTGTGGTGTTCAGTAATTAGGTATTTCAAATATACAACTTGTCCCACTTCTAGCTTTGGTGTAAAAATGATGTTCATGCACCTTAATAACAACAATAACAACTCATAGTGTTGATTTCCGACAGGTATCATGTCCCCTATAAGAAAAGGCATCATCCTTAAAAGACACCACATTTGACAAGCTTTTTAGGCAAGTTTATGGTCTGTCGTGTTTAGCAAACAGGATCTGATAACTGTTGAGGGTTTTATTTTTCAAATCAATATACATATAATTAAATTCCTTCATTCTTTCACTAACTACATTAAGGGTAATGAGTCGGTCTTCGGTATTTAGGTGCTTTAAAACCAATTTTACTTCAAAAGGTGCTATCCCTTCCAATATATCATGCATTATATCAAAGCTGTGACATGTGACACAATGAAAATATCTCAATTCATTTAAAATACAGTCTGTCCGGACTCCTGTAGCAGGGTTATTATTTCCACCAGCTTCTTCTACCTGAATGTCGTGCTCATCTATTGTCCTGAGTTCAAAATCCTCTTCATCAAAATGAACCTGAATCATTTCTCTGTCTGACATGCATGCTCTACAAAGCTTATTTGCTATGGTGACATAAACCCAAACATATCATGTAATGCAAGCGAGTCCCCTGCCGCAGATGTCAGGGTACCCCGTACACAGGTAGGTCCAGTATCTAAATTAAGCATGATACCTGTGTCTGATTCAAGTTGTTTAATTTCTTCTACAAATGGTCGGAGAATTGGTTCAAAACCGCCTTTTTAAGGTCTTCTTAATAGGCGACAGCCAACAGGGGAATGAATTTACTAATTGAATTAACAGCTCGTGAAAGATTTTTTAAGCAAAAATTAAACATAGCTAATTTATGTACTGTCCTCTTGGACCCAATTGGGTTGACAACCTCAATATCATCATAATATAGTTGCAACCTAAGAGCATTGGGATATTCAAAAAACATGCCATGGTTTTTGTACTAAATCCCATCTCCATAAGTTGATAATCTTTGTTTATTAATATTGGCATGTTGTTCACTTTGTATCATCTCCCTCACAATTGGATTTTTGAGAACTTCTTCAAGTGTCTCAAGAAGTGGAACATACTGAAATGATTCAGTCACAATTTTTTGTTTCACGGTTCCTGTAGATCTATCGAAAATCTGGTCATACCGTACTGTACCAATTGACTTTGCTATAGGACAAACCATATGCATATTCTTGCAAAAGTATTCATTCTGTTGATACACAGTTTCTAACCCATTATATGGGTTGCATAACAGGTTAAATTGTTCCATCAGATCTTGAGACTGAACATCTTGAGACTGTATGTCAACATTATTCGCCAATAAAGTTTGAAGCACTTGGTCTTTCAATATTCCCAGGTTATTTTCGAAGATCATTTTACTGTCATTCATAACATTTTGTCAAACCAGTAACAGTAAGTGATGGTGAAGACTTCATCTGTAAAATAAATGTTGCTACTTCTAACTTAAGCTTTTCTTCATCCAACTTAACCTGTGGTATTTCATCAATCACCTCATTATCCTCATCAGCAAGTGCATCACTCATTCCATCATCATCTATACCATTATGTATGCCTTCAGGCTTACCGCCATTTATTTCTATGTATTCAACATTATATGCAGGGACATCAATATTATTGCCAATATGGAATCGGTTAATGTGATGAAGGAAAGAATCCATGCGGTTAAAAGTCTGCATACAAAAATTCTGGTGACAGGTAAAATGTTCGAAATTGCCAAGTTGTTGAAAATTTCTTAAGTGGTATGCAAGAGTTATGGTACTGTTTAATTCTTTAAGACATTTAAAACATACAACCATCTTTGTTTCAGCTTGCGATATACTACTTTAAACAACACAGTAGTTACTTACTTGCTTAGGTTTTCAGCACATTTATTCTCCAATTTTGTTGATGTTGTCTTAAGCCTTGCCCAGAAACTTCTAAGTAATGAGCTGGCAGTGTATGTATTTATGCCATAAAAAAAAGCATCAAAGAAATTGTAGAATGTGTGGACACATCCAGAAAATTCAACACTGAAAATATAGTGAATTTTAAATAGAAGGTCAAATGCTGCAAGAGCTGTTGTTCCGGCAGGCACACTGGTATTGTCGCATATGACATAGTAATCTGTTGGGTTTATGGGCGTCCCAAGACATAGCAGAAAAGGTTCAGCATATTTATCATCCTTGGTTTCAGCAAAAAACATTACATCAGTACCAATCTGTAAGAGGAAATAAACACTTTATTTCACTTGCTAATACTAAATTATATTACTAATTGCAATTACATAAGTAAGCAATGCTTGTTAAAATAGTGAAATGCAGAAAATAATTAATGATTAAAATTAAAATAATAATAAAGACAGGTTATCAAATTATCGAGAATGACAATAATTGTGAAATATATGGTTAAGTTTGAATATGGTGAATGTGGAGCAGTTCTGTCAAGGTTCGTGTCTGATGGGTTGTGGGATGATTTTTGGTGGTACAGTAATTTTTCAACATGCGCGGGCAACATGAGACAAAGAATTAATTTTGTTTGGCCCTTACGCACATTTTGAGTAAGTCTTAGTGTGACAACATGCAAAAATGAATACCGAGAACATGTAAAAAATTTGGTACATTATCAAAATAAAATTATATTTACTGGTTTGTGTTGGAAAACGTAATTTACTGCATCAACCCTGCTACTTGCAGACTTTTTCCCTTTTTTAGAAGAATATGCATTAGATGATGGCAGCATTGCTACAAGGAGTTTAAGTGCACATAGGTCAACTGCAAATGAGAGAGAACATGGTAAAAAATTCAGGTTTGGATACTGATCAGCATACAAAATTTTCATCCACCTCATACCATACCCCTAGGCTAGTAAGCCTAGAGCATACCATACCCTTAGGCTAGTAAGCCTAAAGCAGACCATAATCCTAGACTAAGACACAGCTGACTGAGTACTAGTAGCATGAATCCATGGTGTATAATGACAGGGCATAGATAGCTCCGCTACAAGCCTTCCAGAGCATTGCTCCTTTGAGCTTCTCTGTAAGATAAGATCGCGCAAGGCTGCATGTGTAGGCAATTTGTTGGCAGCAGTGACAAGCAGGGGTAAGAATATCAAATGTTGTTTTCCCTCTGGAAATAAATCATGTGTTGGGATTTAGAGGGTTATCCTGATATCAACATTGATGACTTGTCTTGATGCACTAAATCTTGTCTTGTTTTGCGTTTTTGTTTCTCTGTATTCTGTTTTTTCTGGTTTGTGATGTTGTTATATTGATATCTAATCAATCAAATCAAAAATCAAAATTCTAAACAATTTCCAATTTACATAGTAAGTTCATATCCTAGAACACAGGCACAGTAAACTGTAAGTTCAACTGAAAATAACATTATATTTACCATCATCCCACTTCTGGTGGGCTGACAACAACAGTCCAGCTTGAGAGCTCTCAGGCACTTTCCGGGCAACCTTCATGATAGCACCCAAAAAATCAACTTTCCAATTAGTTAACAACGAACTGCTAACATCTTTACCAAATTGTAGTTCGAAATCCAAAACAATCTAATAAAATGAATGAAAAATACTGTAGGTTTCTGATATTAATTATAATATACAGTTAAACTTGCCTAATTAAATTGTGCCTATAAAGTCGAATAATTTCTAAGTCGATCTTATTTTACATGACAAATTGTGTTGTTTTCCATTAAATAACAATCTGTAAGTCAAATTTTATGCAAGTCAAAACAATATTTCAATGGCATTTTGGATTCGACTTAGGCAAGTTCAACTGTATAAAGCCTTTAGATGTTCTTTTAAAAAATTGCAAACTCAACTAAATTGATTAATATCTATTACACATGATAATGAAATAAACTTTATCTAAATCTTACCAAAGATGGCATGTCCCTGTATCTTGGGAAATGACTTAGAGCATCAGTAATTGTTAGTCCATGCATTATATTTTTGCGGTGGTTTCTTGTGTTCTTAAAGTATGTTCTCATTTGAGAAGTGTTTTCTCTTGAGGGGGGATGGTGTTTCATCCATTCCACCTGAATAAATAAATAAAATGACATCTTGTACTGACAGTAAAATAAATATTTTTAGCAGAATGAACATTAAATGATAACTATTTTCAGGTGTGCCTATCAAAATAAACATTTTTACAACATGTTTGCTGTTAAGATTTATCATATTTATTGTTTCACTGCTTTTAAACAAAACTGCAATGGCTATGGCCTTTATTATTAGAAAACGAGAGAGGGTCACGGAAAAGTACTAATTCAATTACATATATTGACTTTCCCATGACTGTATATTGTAATATAATTGTATAAAAGTTAATTAATAATAATAATTAATATTCAGTAAAGTTAGCCAGGCCTGGAGAAGGGGCTTAAGCCATGATTTTACAATAGACTCTGCATATGGCCTAGATTTATATAAACAAGGATTAGACTACAGTGGGGCTGGGTAGCTGCCACCAAAAGTTTTAGGATTTTAAATTTACTTTCAACTGTGGAAGTGATTTTGAAAGTTTGATGTGACATTCAAAAAATTGTTGACTTGAATTTTGAAAGTGTGCCATGGTTTTAAAAGTGTGCAGTGAATTTTGAAAGTGTGCCGTGGTTTTAAAAGTGTGTGGTGAATTTTTAAAGTGTGCCACGACTTTTTAATTCAAGTGTGTCAGGTGGTTTTAAAAGTTGTAGCCGTGAATTTTGAAAGTGTGCCGTACTATCACTAGTGGAACTTCATTTATTTCAAATGTATTCACTAGATAAGAAAGCGACTCTTATATATTACTACCTTCTTTAACACATCGTCAGTCAGTTGATCATCTGCAACTTCTGTCC